GGAACATGTCCGGAGAACCATCCGCACAAGCTGAGCAGCACCGGGGACAGCGACTTGCAACGTCCATTGTCCAATGCCATTGCCATGTAACCGACCGCGCACGTAATAACAATCCCATTCATGGGTACTGGCATGGGCACTGGCATTACCTTAGCATTGACAATTGCCCCACAAACACCAACCTCCATCGCTGTTTTCTCCTCTGTAAGGAAACTAATACTTGTTATTCTACCTGTAGACAGTCAGAAACTCAGAGAGCGCTTTAGCAACCAAGTCACCGATAGACCTTCCGATACCTAGGGTACATACCTACCTGACCGTCCAAGGCAGACTCAGAGACACATGCCGATGGCGAGCCGTTAGACGCCTTGCTGCCGACTTTGGCGTGGCCTGCTGCATGCAGCATCCTTCTTTTTATCCTTCCGCCTCTGCCCGCCCGCTTGCCCGTTTGCCACGAGCTTCGGTACGGCGTCGGCGGCTGACCAGTCCACTGGGGACGCTGCAAACTCAGAAACACCAACTCTTTGGCTGACCAACACTTGCACCCAGCAAAGACACTGTCCTGATCGATTGGCCGAGATATGCGCCAGCCATTCGGAGATGCAATGCGATGCGATGCGATGCGAATGGCGCACAAGCTTCTTTTCCAACATGGAGTTGCAATGGCATTGTGGGACACAATAAGGTAGCCCTGGCCACGAATCAGGGGCTGGGACTCTGCTGATTGGCCGTGCGCGCGCCATTTCCCTTGCCGCCTCTGCCATCTCAATTCACCGCAGCGCTTAATTCTTTTCAACACGAGATGCAAGCCCGTTCCCTTCTTGCCTTCCCACTTGTCGGCCCTCCACCTTGGCAGTGGGCCTAGATCGGGTCGGGATGCCACCACCACTGCCAAGGCTCCATTTACACTCTCCAAATCTCTCAAGCGTCAGAGTCCCCACTTGCTCAACGACACAAGCTGCTCTTTTCCCTTCCCCTTCCCTTCTCTCAGCTCAGAGTCCCCTGGGCCCCGATTCAAGGAACGGAGGGGGCCGGTGGGAAAACAAAGGGAGGCAAGGAGGGTTGTAACCATGGATGCTGACGGCTCACGGACTCCTCAAGGTTCACCATCCAGGTGCGTCGTGATATGCTTGACTCTCGTCTTACTCGATGAAAACACCTTTTCGGTTAGCCAACGGGCATTTGGAAGACCTCCATCTTCTATGCGAACTGCCGGTGCCGGTGCCAGAGCCAACGCATCAGATCACTGCAGTGGGTGAGTGAGTGGTTGGTTGGTTGGGTGGTCCACACCCAGCGCAGTACGGTGTAGAGCACCAGGACCATTCAGCTCCAGTCGAAAATGTCTCGCCTTTTGCCGATCCAACTTGGCCCCAGAGCAGTCGCTGCGGGCAAAGGGGGCTCGCAGCTCGCTGGCTTCCATCCATCATGGGCTTTGCTTCTGCGTCGCCAACGTCGTTGTGTTTCAGATGACATGTCTCAATGTGGACTCACCACCACCGCCGCCGTTTGTTCTTCGGCTTCCCTTGGCCGGTGAGGCATATGGTCTCCCTCCAACTCGCATGGTCTCGTGAGCTGAGTGAAATACTACCCTAGAAACTCGGCGGGCTCTGTCAGACTTTCCACACGTGAGCTGCCAACCAGAACCGACCTATTAGAAAGAAGTTCGAGAGACTTGAGCTGCCTCGACAGGACTGTGCGTTGTGTAGCGTACCAATCTGTGTGTGTATTTACTGTCCCGAGGCCAGCCAACCACACAAACCCCCACCACCGAGATCGTGTAAGATGCGGCCGGTGGGACCCTTGTTCTCCGCCTAGGAGGCTGGCAAGATGGGCCGCTGCCCGCTGGCAAGCCGCAAGCCCATTCTCGGTTCATGATTACGCGCAGACGGTGGATCCCTGCTCTCCAACCACGACTCGCCTCGATCTCGCTTCTAGTCTGTCCACACGCGTTGACGATGTAGTATCAACGTCTCCACTCGTCTGACCTTACACTATCAACGTGCGCGCACGTCCGAGTTGTTATCCGTGTTCCTTGGTGATCCGTAGCCCGTAGGTAGCGTAGGTATGCTTGTCGCTAGTATTGAATGGTTGGTTGAATGACAGGTTGGCAGATCCGGTCTGAGAACCCCTATACTCGAAGGAGGTCAGGAAAATGATGTAATTGATACAAACTTGTCACTGTGGTATGCGAGGCTTAATATGATTTGACTGGTGTGTTTCTTAAGCTACCTGGCTATAGCTGTGGCTTTAAGAGCCATAGAAATATACAACTTGGATGCAAGGGTTGGTCCTCGCTGTTACTTACGCCAGACAGGCGTCAAGCCGGCTGAACAACAATCCATGGAAAAAGAAAACCCATGTTTAACTCCCGATAATCCAGCAAGACTCTTTTCGCTTGCCAACTCGCTTTTAACCTTTTGAGCTCCTGTCATCTATGCCATGAATAACAAAACGCCTTGCCGCACACTTTCACCACCAACGCCATTCGTCTGACCTTGTCGACTTGCGTAACAAGCCACAAGGGTTGGCAGAAGAAGTTTTCTAAATGAAGAATGGGATGGGCCAGAATCCAAGACTGTTCCAGTCTCTACTCCCCGCTGATCTTAGCATGGCGAAAGTACTTCATTCCCATCCAGGCCACGGAGACCCATACCCAAGCCATGATACTGGTCAGAATAATGAGGGCCGGATAGTAGCCCGTAATGGGCAGCGTCGGATCGTCCTCGAGCTCCGGGGGCGCGTACGGGGTCGTACCAACATCCCACGCCCAACTCCATACTCCAAAGACTGAGCCCATGCCCATAACAAATACAAGCCCTGTCACGATCAAAACAACCCATCCCCACCATTCCGTGTCTGAGTAGTCGATTTCGGTGTCGTTGGGAGGCAATGGGGTGGATGACAGGCCGCTGTACGAGAGTGGTGACTTGGCCTGCAGTATAGACTGTTGCCTGGGCCGGGTTACAAAGTATGATTCGGAGCCCGACGAGAGCGACGAGTCGGGCTGTAGGTGCGACGGCATGTGGCTCGGTATGTGTAAAACGTCGTCTTCGTCCGTTGTAGATGTGTATGATATCGTGGGGCTGGTGATGGTGGACTCGGCCTCGTTTATGTGTCGAGAATTCGGCAGAGAAGACACTGGGGATTCGACCAGACTCGACCTGCTCGCGTATCCTTCCATAGACGGCCGCGGCGTCAAGTCCGCGATGTTTAGACCAAGAGGGTCGTGTTCGATAGTTGTCGCGTGCGATCGAGATGCAGCGCTCTCCATGTCGCGGGAGACGGTGTGTGACGTGTCGATGGTGAGCTGCTTAGCCTCCTTGCGCTCTCGTTGCGCGCCTCTTCCCAAGAGAGCCACCTTCCTAAGGGAACCCTTCCTCCGTCGAGACTTTTGCTGCTGCTGCTGTTGCTGTATTACAGTCGACATGGATGACGGCGGGGAGCGCGAAGTGTTGTCCTCGGCTTCTTGGTGACGCTGCTGCTGCTTCCCATCGGAATGGGAGCGCATAAAAGGGAGTTTGGAAAGGAAGTTCGCGCCGGAGGAGGTGCGTCGGTGGGGGACCGTTGACGGCGGCTGATGCTGCTGGTATTGATGCTCAGAGAGAGAGACCGATTTTGGTGATACAGCTCCTACTGTCGATGGGTCGTCGAGCGCATACGTGCGACCCTCGGCGCCATTGTCACCGCCAGCCGCAGTATGGTCCATTGCGTTTGGTAAGGTATTTCGAACTGCGATAATCCCTTATCGTTCCGTCGGAAGAGTGGACCAAAACCGATAGGGATGGGGTGGGGGGAGAGTCTCACGTCAATGCTTGGGGGCTGCGTACGAGTCGGGGCCGTGACATGGACACCCACTCTACCGAAGATTTGTTGCAAGGGGGAGAGGCAAGAGAGGGAAGTTCAGCTAAAAGAAGCTGGTGGTATTTCCGGATCTGATTGAAACTTTGTCAATGCTGTGAAGAGCTCAGTTTAACAATTGGGGTTGACGCGGGTCGAAGATTGAGAGGGCTAACTGCAAAGAGGTAAAAGATGTAGGACCCTGCATTGTGACGTGGGTCGTGGATACGCCTCAAAGTCAATGCCGTTACTTCGTGGTACCGCTGCTGCGAACTCAATACCAGGTGATTCGGTGCAACGGTACCTATAAAGGTAGGTACCTTAGGTAATAACCGTGAAAGGAGGCTAAGTGGTTTACGGTAGGTAACGAGGAAAGTGGGCGGCACGACTACAAAGTACATAGTGTTCCCCCTGTAATGTGCTCTCCCTTTAAGCCAGTTCTTTGAGTAATAGCATATCCCCCCTGAACAGATGCACTTAGACCATTTCAAGCTGTGGGGGAAGGTGGTGGAGCGAACCTGGAGACAGATCTCCGTCGTCCCTTCTTTAGCTGGCCCTTTTTACCCTTTTACCGGGCTAGCAGTGACACTGACTGGAATTCTAACCTTCCCGACCTAGCGACTCGTTCTGTCGATGATTGCACGTCACCCACGTCTCGTCCCATCTCTTCCTAGTGTTTCTTTGCTTCGCCTACCATTCTGCGACCTTTAGCCCCCCGGAGTAACGCACAATGCATGCCGGCGACTATCGGACACCACTGCCATTGACCCTGTCGCTGACGCTGTCCTTGCTTGTCCCTTCTTCTCGGCGAGGGACGTCGCTGGGAAGAAAATAGTTCCATGGCTTCCAGCCCTGCAGCAGCCCAATCCTCCTCCGCCCCTCTGCGACCTGCCACCCCACCGATCCCCCAAAGCGGTAACGACAGAAGTGATAACACCTCGTCAACCCATGTCGTCTCTGGCCTTCCGCAATTCGCCTTTCCATCTATAAACATCAACGACGAAGCCTCCGACGTGGACGACGAAGTGGATGAGGACGGCCGTCACCCTAGCATCTCCTGCTCCCCCTGTGTAGCATCGACACCCATAGGCAGCCCTGGACTTCTCGCGCCCGCCAACCTGAAACCTGGGTTGCTTCGTCCAGACTTCCCAACACCAGCAGACATGGCTGAAGACGACCCTCCCTCTGCTGGGGGCTCGATCGTCCCGAGCCCCTTCAACTTTCAGACGCAGGTCATCTCGACCTCGCCTGTCAAGTCGGTATGTTCAGATACACATCATCGCCATCATGCTGCACACCCCTTCCAGCTCTTCAACCAGCCAATTGATCGCTAACATTGGCGCCTCACAGAATATTGGCCAGCGTCGCGGCCATCGATATAAGCACAGTTCCATATCTACCCAACACCAAATCTTCCAGGAGCCTCCTCAGCGACCGCCCCCCGTTCTACCAGCCTCCCTCCCTGTGCCCACCGTTCGAGAAGCATGGAAGAGTATGTCAAAGGACCAGCGCGTCAGGCTCTACTGGAGCTTGTGCCACTTGGCAGTCGCGACTTGGCTCTTTTTCATTTCCGAGGGCTCCGTTGCTATGATGGCCCTCTCCCACCTAGTGTTCTTCGACGCCGGTAGCGCGGCGGTGTGCGTCGCTGTCGATGTTCTAGGCAACTTTGAGGTTTGGCGTCGTAGCAGTATCCGTCATCCCTTCGGTCTCGAGAGAGCCGAGGTTCTCGCCGGCTTCGCCATGTCCATATTCCTGCTCTTTGGCGGCTTCGATCTTGTGTCGCATAACCTCAAGCACTGGCTGGAGACCAAAGGTGGACATGAGCCGCACCACGAACACGCTCATGAGCGTGTCTCAGCCGGAGAAGTGGACTGGGCTGCGTTCGCGGCTATCACAAGCACAGTCATTTCAGCATACGGTCTGAAGAATCATGCACGTATTGCTAGAATCATGCGTGTGTCGTGGCTAGCCAAGCTACCTACCCACTTTTCTAACATCTTTCACTTCTTGACGGTCTTCTTCTCGAGTCTACTGCTCCTGTTACCGCTTCTGTCCATCAAAAGCTACATCTGGGTCGACCGTACGCTCTGCGCCGCCATTGCCGCTTCGATGTTCCTGTTCGGTGCTAAGCTGGCCATGGCTCAGGCTATGATGTTGCTCATGTCATATGGCGGCATGGGTGGTAACGAAGGTGTGTCTTCAGTGGTGCGGGAGATCGAGGCAGAGCCAGGCGTGGCACGCATCGAGGATGCGCAGTTTTGGCAAGTGCACTACGGGTTATGCATGGCCAATCTCAAGATCTGCGTCGCCAAAGGTTGTGACGAGGGAGCCATCAGCAAGCTGCGCAGTCGCATATCTACTCTGATCCAAAATCGGCTCGGGGAAGGATACGGACGCGGTACAAGCTTACGTTGGGAGGTTACTTTGCAGACGAGTGTTGAAGTGACTCTTTGATTGAGCGAGGATAGCGATTTGTCTTGTCAGGCCAATGGTCAGACAATGTTTGTGGTGTACGATTTAAGAAGCGAAATCAAAAGTCTCATAGAGGGTCGTCTTGTTTAGTTGAGATCAACATCAAAGTTCTGATGACAAACACATGAAGAGCGAGAAAAGTCTATTCTTTCAAGAGACTGGAGTCGAGGAGGGTATCCTTCTTGTAATATACCACTTTACACAAAAATACCGTAGAGAAGAAACTTGCAAGCAGACCAAGGCCTGCCTACGCCGCTGACGTGACGAAGAAAGGCGAGGCCGACAGTGCATTGATCTTTCAGACACCCAAACTCCTTTTGCACCCAGGTCATAATGCGTTACAGGTCCAAGATAGGAAGGGCCAATTGTGAATGTCGCCAAAAGATGGCCGCATCCCAATCAAAACAGTCCCCAGCGTCCACGCTGCTTGTCATCCTTGTTGGGCCTGTTGTTGCTACCCTGCTTCCGCTCTCTCTCGCGACCCTCAAGCTGCCTGAGGCTCTCCATCTTCTCAAGGACCAACTCGAGCAGATCTTTGCGGCGGATGACTTCCAGGTGCCTCTTGATCTTGGGGTCTTCCTTGGCGAACCTTTCGATATCTTCTTCGGAGAGGTGCCTTCCTAGCCGGAGATCGAGTTCCCTAGGGAAGTTGTAGTAGAATTCCGATAGGAGCTCTACGTTGAGAAAAAGAACAGCCGTTGACGCGAGCTTGGTGGCTGCCGCATCAAGGAAGACCTCCGGGCAGTAATACTTGTTCTTGAGGCTGGTGCATTGCTTAGACTTAACAGCCATTAGACGCATCTTGATGATGTCGGCACGATCCCTGAGGAAGACAGCCTCACGTCCTGGGGTCTGTTAGTGACCGGCAACACACGAGCGCTCAACTTGGACTTACCTCTCTTAAGAAGCGACGCGCTGAAGCCTCCGGCGCCGCTACGGCTTTCTCCCTCAACCACAACATCTCCCTTTCGTGCGCGATCGACAAAGTTCATCACTTCTCTCAACTTTCGTCGACCGCCAACAACATCTTCAATGCTCTTGAGTGCGCCTTCGCAGTCCTGGAGCTCCTTCTTCAGGACAACGGCTGAGTGATCGCGACCTTGGGTCCATTCTCTCTCGTCAAGATCAATTTCGAACTTGTAAGGCTTGATACAGTTCTCAACCTGATCGCTCGTGCTATAAAATCGCTCATTCAGAATTGTTGACGCGGCTTCGTTAATTGCTTCGCGTGCAAAGGGATGGCTGCTGAAAGTGGAGTGCTTTATCAGACTATCGATGTGTGCCTGGATAGCAGAAGCAACAACGCTTGTAGCTAATCTGCCAACGCCAAGTTTTGTCAATGAAGAAGTCGACGCGTCGAGCTGGCGATGCCAGTACAAAGAGTTGGGGTCGGCTTTGGGAAGATCAGCCAAGCTGTCCGGCTCTGGCATTGCAGGGGACAGGTCCTGGATAGGCTTGTTCCAGTACCGAGCCGCCAGAAGATCGAGAACCTTCTGATCTAGCTCTTGCTTCAGAAGCTGGTGCATTTGGGGGCGCCCGAACTCCTCGGTGAATTGCTTGAAGGAGTGTTTGAAGCCATCGAGGCTTTCCGCCAAGTATGATTCGGCAGATAGCGGGCGGTCATTGTATTGAACCTTGAACTCATAGGTCGCTTCCTCAAGCTCCTGTCTGATAGCGTCGCTAGTTGTAGCTAGGCTAGCAGACATCGTCTGTTCAAGAACGGTCATGAGCTTCTTACGTAGGTTGATGGTCCCTACGTTGACACCAGCACCCTCGCCGAACTCGAGCGGGTGGGCCGAGAAAAAGGTGTTCTCGTTCTTTGCAATGGCAGACATGACGCTACCAGATCTCTTGAAGAGACCAGTCGTTTGAGGAACTTTGGAGACAACACCCACATAACCCAGTCTCAGGGGATACTGCTTGTCGCTCAGGATGGCGGCCCCACGAGGAGCGTCCACCAGATCCATCTTGGTAACCACACCGATGGTCCTCTCTCCTCTAGGGTCTACACGACGACTGGCACGTAATGCGGTCGAGTTTGCGAGATCTACATCTGCGGCGGAGATAGCGAGAATAACGTTGGGAGGCTGGATGTACTTGTCGCATAGCTCCGAGATCTTTTGCTTCAATTCAAGAGGCTGGCCTTGGCCAACCACTTGAATGTATCCGGGCAGATCAATCAGAGACAGATCTGGTACGTTTGGCGAGTAGATGGTAAGGTGAATGGGATCATCCGAGACGCACTGGGTATCTGGCACGGCTAGATTGAGCTCAGTCAAGGTCCTTTGGATCGAGGAAAAGTCGGTAATGCGTCGAAGACCTAAGTCGGGGAATTCGCCATATTCTGCATCCGACTCAGGGGTATTGACGAGGGTCAGCTCTATGGGTCTGCGAGTGACCATATTGCTTCCCTTGGGCAGGAATTCGTGACCGACGAGGGCTTCTAAGACAGAACTCTTTCCTGACGACTGGGAACCGATGACAACAATTGAAGGGAGCGTCAGTGTGCTCGATTGTCCAACTTGCTGGAGCATGCTCCGAATCTCGATCATCTTCTTGGTGAGGATCATCATCTGGTCGTCGTTGGCCACCTCGTCGGGATCTCGTGGGTCGTCTTCTGAAGATTGGTCGTAGCCGTACGCAGCAGCTGAGCCTCCTGCAACAACAGCCGCACCAGCTCTGCTCTGCTTGGGCTGCTCCCCTCCGGGGCCTCCTGAGCCGCCACCTCCAGTGCCAATGTCTTCGTGGATACGCAAGACCTTTTGAAGCCATTCGGGGGTTTCGATTTGTTCTTTCGTGTTTTCCCAACCGCGCATCGTTTGATCCATGATACCTTTAGCACCTCCAAAGAGACTAGACGTCGTTTCCGAAATACCATCTGCTGTTTTGCTGACCATATCCCAGGCGTTGGTGGTGAGCTCTGTGAGTGATTTGGTCAGCAGGGGCAACTCATTTTGATACGAAGGGAAGGCCAGTACGTACGGTTAGCTTGGTACTGAATCCAAGCGAGTGTTCCGACAGCTAGGCCACCGAACATGGCGGGGATCCTAGCAAACTTGATAACCAGCTTTGGTAGGAAGCGGGCAAAGGACGCATTCCTTACGACGACGGCATTGTGGAAGGCATTGCCAGGGAACCACATGCGCCGTTGGGTAGCACGCACAGCAGCATCTGCTCGCTGCAGCCCGCCTGCGGGAAATCGGTGAAAGTGTCGAACGGCCTGGACTGGAGCGCGTCGCGTCAATGGCGAAAGCCCTGCGGCCAGGAGACGTCCGCTCATGCTGCCGACGAAGCACGGGACGCGTGTAGTATGAGAGGGTGGTGTGTTCTTCGCATACGAGGTTGGAACTCGAGTGGAAAAGCCAGAGGGTCGTGTGTCCGAGATGGAGGAGCGGTGTGGTTGTGGTGATAGTTGATGTGGGTTTCGCCAAAGCCTCCGGCCTGACAAGAGACTTGAATATCAGAAATCCGTTGACATGTTACGGATCGGGGACGAATGAGGAGCGGCGTGGATGGGAATCAAGCGGGTTCTCGCGGGTTGCATGAAGAGCCCATTTCACTAAGGCACCTACCTAGTGGGGACGACCTGGCATTGACGTACCGTCCATCTTCCCCAAAAGAGTACCTAGGCACCTCCCTGCTGGCTGATTACTTACCGGTATGCACCAGCACAACTGCACATTGCTTTAGGCCGCAGCTCAATGGCTTTCTCTTATCACCCTTCGCATAAAGCCTTATCGCCTTCGTCATCCCCAGACAGCCCGTAAAAGACATAGCTCCAAGGTGCCTCCGATGGCGCTGGATCTCCAGTCGCACCTGGGCAAAGAAATTATTTGAACATGGCAATCCCAGCAGCAGCTGACCAGCTTTGCTTATACCGCCCCTGATCAAATGACTCACTGCAATTCTTGCCTCATTCATCCCCAATTGAACCCTAAGAATTCACCAAGGTGCTCGGAAAAGCAACCGGAATCCCGACCGAAGGCGCAATCGCTGGGAGTCATTCTTTTAGATTACCACCAATACTTTGCACCCTGAGACCCTCCACATCGTACAAACGTCCAGCTCTTGCCTTGTCAACTCTGTGTGCTTTAGTTTCCTACCGGCACGGGCCTCAGCTCAACCTCCCCCCACCCACGAACCTACCTGACTTATTCGGTACTCCGTGCTCTGGCACTCAGCTGGTAGCTACCTCATCCCTATCAACTTGCGCCACCGCCCTGGGGTTTCTGATCGCGCCATAGCTCATCAAACGAATAAATCTGGCCAAATACTTCCTCCGACGTTTCCCATTCGCGAATTCGTCTTTGACTTCTAGTCCTATCCCTTGAGCACCTGTTGTTGTTTAAGAACAGCCAAATCCCATCGAAGACAAAGTCGCATTGCTCACGCGACACCTTCGACTACCTTTTCCCCCCACGTCTTCCTCTTCTCCTCGACTCCGCCTGAGTCGCCCGTCGTAGCTTGCCCAAAATGTGCCGCTTCCTGGTAGGTTCAGTGTTATTAAGCACTATCGGACACCTGTTGACCGATTCTAGGTATATCGGGGAAGCGACGAGATTCTTCTCTCCAAACTTATCCTTGACCCTACGCATTCCATCCTGAAGCAGTCGTTTGACTCCAGGCTCAGACTGGTATGTCACTCTGGCGCGTGGGATGAACGTACCGTACTGATATCTGGACGCGGCCAAACAGGATACAAGAAGAGGCCAGAACAATGCAGATGGCTTCGGAATCGGCTTCTATACGGATCCCAAGCTTGGCCACGCCCCTTGCCTCTTTACCTCGACAATCCCCGCCTGGAATTGCACCAATCTTCAGCGCATCGCCTCCAAGACTGCTTCCCAACTCATCTTCGCTCATGTGCGAGCAACGACTGAGGGATCTCTTAGTGAAGATAACTGCCATCCATTCTGCCACGGTAGCTTGATGTGGATGCACAATGGTGGTCTTGGGGGTTGGAAGTATATCAAGAGAAGGCTGGGGTCGAGATTGGCCGACAAGTGGTACCTTGGGGTTCAAGGTGGTACAGACAGCGAATGGGCGTTTGCGCTCTTCCTTGATACTCTCGAAAGGATGGGCATCGATCCAGATTCGCAGCCCGCCCACGGTTTCGGGCCTACAGTACTAAGAAAGGCTATGCTGAAGACCATCGCCACAATCAACGAATTGATCGACGAAATCCCAGAAAGCACGATTCAGGCGGAAAACATCGACACTCGAAGCTTGCTCAACTTTGCTGTCACAGACGGCAAAAGCGTAATTTGCACCCGATACATAAGCAGCGCGACAGACGAAGCCGCGAGTCTCTACTACTCTTCAGGCACTGAATGGGGCACGAGGACATCGGCAGCAACCGACCGGAACTACCAAATGGAACGCCAAGATAAAGGTGCAGATATCGTACTTGTCGCAAGTGAACCGCTGACGTTTGAGAGAGGTACGTGTTGAGAATTCGGTAATGCGGTGTTTGAGCAAGTGCTAATCGAAACAGAGAATTGGGTCAACGTTCCCACAAACTCGATCTTGACAATCCACAACCAAACTGTCATGGTTCATCCGATCATTGACAAGTACTATGATCGAAGCCCATACCACGCCAGATCAAGCGCTTTTGTTCAGACGAAGGGGCTCATGGCGAACGAGAAGATTTCGTCACTACTCAGCCCGGCAGCAACGTCGCTGCCAACCCCCGAGACTGCAAAAAAGAGTCTTGGGCCGACCATTCCCTTTACCGTTTCTCGCAACCACACCCCTGAGCCTACCAACGTTGGCAAATCTCGGCCACACAGCCAACTTCACGAGGTATCAACTCCGGCAGACTCTAGGTCTATTATGACCATTTCGAGCGCGCAGACGAGCACGTCAAAGCCTCCAGTTCAAGGAAATATCAAGGTGAAACGGGCGGCGCTAGAGCAAGCTCCCAGTACCGATAGCGATACAGACTCACTGCTGCCTGCGGAGGATCAGGCGCAGAGCAGGACAGAATTTGGCCATCCTAATAAGTTGTCGAGATTCTTCCCTGAGTTGACCATGACCTAGCAAGAGGGAACGAAACTTGCCCTGAGGGAACGACAGCAATCAAACAATTCAACAAATCACCCACCTCGCTACGGCCCAGCCACCGTGACATGCGAACGCTTCCAGAAGTCGGCAAACCAGCCAGACAAACGGGCTAAACAATTATCGTATTGATGGCGATGGTGATGGTTGGTATGACAAGATGTGATGTGAGATGGCTGCCTAAAGGGGCAGAAGCAGCGTGTAAAATCGAAACAAGAGGAGGCATGTGTGCACCTCATAGCTGCGTCCACTGTATTGGTACTATTTATGATTGCGGATGGACGGGGCGTATTGGAGTTCGGGTCTGCACTTGTTGTCTACCTACGTAGGTCGGGGAACCATTTATCTAGAAGGAAGAAAGTCATCAAGAAAGCAAATTATCTATTGGCTCAGGCTGTGACAGGTCGTGGAAACGCACCGCCTTGCGTTGTTCGCTTTCCGACTGAACCGCTACAAAACATTCGAACTTCTTGAGATTGCAGCTCAGGATGCCGAATATGAAGTCCGATTTAACGCATAATGCATTTCGCCTATCACCTTGCTAGGGATCGAACGGGGCACAAGTAGTCCGCTCCACACGGGCTGGACTACCCCAGAGGCTCGGAGACTCGGAGACTCAGACTAGTCCCTAAATCGCAGCCAAGCACGCCATCTCATGGGCCATCGATGTTGGATGATTGCCTTGCCTCTCTATGGCTCGAAAAACTACCTCAATTGATATCTTGCAGTGCAGATGGATGCTCTATATGTAGATTTTGCTGCCAGCCGAATTCCAGAACACCACGCTAGAATTTAAAATGCTGATGCTTCAGATTCGAGATCTCAAGAATGCAGGCAGAGTTTGACAACAGCTGATATGGAATGGCAGAAGCTACCTTGTTATCAGATGAATGGGCTGTGACTTTGGGTATAAGGTGACCCTATCTGCGGGGCCAGATCATTACCTTCAAACAGCAATCGAATATTAAGCGCTTGCGAAGATCAGCACTCCACGAAACGGTCGTCTCTCATCTTCCCTGGCGAAATCGCCAATAAGGTAACGTAGTACCTAGGTTCCAGGTTGGCGGCGGGAACAAGCCGCTAAGGATCTTATCTTGAAACTGATAAAGCCACCACGGCCACTCTTCACCTCACCCTGCACCACTTACTTGGACTACATGTTCTGATGTGACCACCTCGTATACTCGCCAGGATAGACCAGAGGAGCGAGGTCTCGTCAAACCATTTTTAAACAACCAGAAATGGCCGCGCCAAGATGCTTCTTCCTAGACCTACCTTGCGAGATTCGTCTCGACATTTATGCCCTTCTCCTTGTCCTTCACACTCCCCTGGAAAAAGTCAGCCCATCCTCACCGCAAATACGGCTCCATCCCGCAATCCTCTCAGTAAACCGGCAAATCCACGCAGAGGGGACGCCCATTTTGTACGGCAACAACATATTCCTCGCGCACGCCAAACTGCTCGCCTCCTTCCCGCGCTTGCGGCCATGGTACCCACCCGTCCGGGAGCGCTCCGTGCTCCCGCGCATCCGCCGCTTCCATATCCGGCTGCGACTGGACTGCGACCTGGCATTCGATTCAGCGGCCGCGACGGCGGCGTTCAGCGGCGTCGACGAATTTGTCGTCGAGGTGTGGCAGGCTGCCTTCCAGAGTGCGGATCACAGTGCGCTGCGGGTATTCGAGGGAGTCCGGGATGTCAAGACTGTCAGGGTCTATGGGAGCATCACGGGGTTTGAGGAATACGTGTGCTGGCTTGAGGGAGTGATGCGCTGCGACAGTGAAATCGAAGACGGCAAAGACGCTGGTCCTGTCGGGACGAGGCCGTCTTAAGGTCAAATCTTGTGAGTTTTATCGCATACCTTTCCATCTATGGGACTTCAGGGTTCCCGAAACAGCTGTGCAGCCGAGGCATTGTGCAACCAACAGGCACCCATCCATCCAGGAAGCTTCAGTGGAACTCTTTCCACACTATCTGGATTTACCAGCTCATACAACGTCTATGAGGTTGAGGCCTTCACAGCTAGCACGCATCAAACATCCCTGAGAACTCCCTCTGTAGCGGTCGGGCTCTCGTCAATGGCGACATCACACCCGGCGGTGACAACACCCGACTCCACACCGCGCTCGCACCTGCTCCTCCACAGGTCCCCTGACGTCCAGCTATAGTGGATCACAGGGACGATTGAATGGAGGAGCTTCCAGCCCTCCACCGCCTTGGGGCCCTTGGCTCCGCCTATCACAGCAACCTCGTTACCGGCCTCCTGGTCACTTGGGCCGCACCCCGCCGCCCAGAAGTGATTTCCGCTGGGCTCTTTTTACGGTGCTGGTGGGGCCGCTGACCTCGGGACCGCTGGCCTGTCGGTACCTGCGCCGAAATAGCGCAGCGACGACGCTAACCCCCATACAGTCAGTCTCATGTCGCAATCCTGCGCACCGGGCGAACCATCTCATTTGCAACTTCTTGCGACCTTCCCCTCTAGTCGCAGCAGATCAAAACTCGCTCCTCCAGCACACGAAACCACAGACTGGAGGCTTTGCTGGTTGGATACCTCGACGAAAGGTTTCTGCGAGAAGGGAACGCGAGAAGGCTCATACAGTAGGATTCGGTTATCCCGAATAATTCCAACAAACTTCGGTCAATCTCGGTGTCAACAGCTACAGTCGAAATGGCGTTCGAATTCCTCCCATTCCTATCCGCCGTCTTTGGCTGGGTCTACTTTCTCTGCTGGTCCGGCTCTTTCTACCCGCAGCCTCTCCTTAACTATCACCGGAAAACTACGGCCGGCACAACGGTGGACTTTCCCTTGATCAATTGCCTAGGTAAGGAGAATCAAAACACCACGTAGAACACGGGGCGGGCAATCTACAAGGCACAGCGCTGACAAGAACCTTTGCCCGCAGGCTTCCTCGCCTATTTCGTGTCCAACGCCGCATTCTACTACTCCCCCGTCGTCCGCGCCCAGTACGCCGCGCGCAACCACGGCCTTACCCCGACAGTCGCCTTCAACGACATCACCTTTGCCGCGCACGCCCTCCTCCTCTCCTGCATAACCACCTCGCAGTACGTCCCCAAGCTCTGGGGCTTCACCCCCGCGCCGGGCACGAACCCGAGCCGCTTCATCTCGGGCATCGCCTCGGGCTGCATCGTGGGCGTCGCCGTCGTCGGCCTCATTGTCGCGTCCGCCCCGGGCGACGGCGACCCCGTCACGAGCTGGTGCGCTCTCGACGTCGTCTACGCTGTCTCCTATGTCAAGCTCGTCATCACACTCATCAAGTACACCCCGCAGGTCATTACAAACTACCGCAACAAGTCCACAAAGGGCTGGTCCATCTGGCAGATCCTGCTCGACTTCTCCGGCGGCCTGCTCTCTGTCGCGCAGCAGGCAATCGACTCGTACCTGCAGCGCGACTGGTCCGGCATCACCGGTAACCCTGTCAAGTTTGCGCTCGGCAATGTTTCCATGGTCTATGACTTAGTCTTCATGACCCAGCACTACATCTTGTACCGCGGCTCTGACGGCAAGGCCGACGAGAGAGATTCGCTTCTCCGTGCGGACGATGAAGAACATCAAAGATTGGACTAGAGTAGAGTAGATCGTCGTATATGTACATATATGACTTAGAATACACTTGCATTCTTATTCAGGACACTTGTGGAAACTGAATACCTCGTGGATGTCAGATATGACAGGTTGACATTATGACTACCTCACTTGACATCGTAATATGGACAAAGCCGTCCGAAGACCTTCTAGGTAGTATAAGAAGAAACTCTAGTAACTCTAAGAACTCTACCACTACGGTCTGTTTCTTACACATTGTATCCATGATTTACGACTCTTGAGTTTTGACACAACTATACCGTCTCACGTTACAGCAACACAAAAGAGGAACTTTTTTCAAAGGGAGAAGAAAAAAGGCTTCTACAAAACACAAAATGAACAAAACTGAAAAAAAAAAAGGTGAAATTGAGGAATTGCCTCGAATCCCTTTGTATGCCTACCCTTGAACGCCGTCGGGGGGATATGCAAGTTTCTCACAACCTCCACCTCTCTGCCGGAATTGAAGAGAAAGCCTCCCTCGCCCAGCTTCTTCTTGAATGACTCGCTTTGAGAAGGGTCGTTCGTCATCGCTGTCTTTGATTCATTCTTCTAGAACTTTTGTATTCCCCAGCCGTATATGCGATTTATTCCCAACTGTGACTCTGGGTTCTTTGTTTCTCATCCAGACAAGCACGAAGGCTCTCTCTGGCTATTCAAATCCGATCCAACCGCTCATGAAGAGGTGTTTCCGTTCGTCTGCATGAAGGCAGGAAGCTTCTTCCAACTCTCCTGATTAGGAACCTTGACCTTTCCAAAGTCCTCGTCAATGTCCAAGATGATCTTGAGGGCGTTGCGGCTGCGGGCAAAGGGGCTAGTGTCGAGCTTCTCCTTCAGGGTAGAGATGGCGTCGCCAACACCAGTGTGAACCTTGGAGCTCTCAGCCTTGCCTGGGTAGGGGACAACGTTCTGCAAAACTTCGTAGGCAGCGAGAGTGAAACCGAACTGCGGGGAAGAACGGAAGATTCTGGCAGGGCCGCCCTTGAAGAAGGCGCGGAAGCCCTCCTCCTGCCAGATAGTCTTGGCGGCATGGCGGAGACCTGTGTAGGTGGCCTCGCCCTTGCGAGCCTCGACCTGGAGACGAGTCTTGATGACATCGCAGGGTGTGGTGAGGTAGGCAGCAGGCATACCAGCAATGGCACCAGCAGTAAGCAGCTGGACAACACCCAGCTTCTTAGTAGGGGACTCGCCAAAGAGATCCTTCTTCAGGTGGCTGTAGGTTGGGAAATAGATGGCCGAGAAGGGCACATCACGCAACAAGCACGCGGAGGCACCCTTGTAGAGACCAACGAGACCCAAGTTGCGCACAATCCACATAGCCGACCTCTTGGGGGCACCCTCGACCGTCTTGGCGACCTCACCCTGGACCTGAAGACGAATCTTGACAATCTCGAGGGGGTTAGTGAAGACCTGTGGAACACATTGTTAGCTTTGTCGCCCTCTTACATCTTACACTAGACTGCAGTGATAGAGGGTGTGTACTTACAACTTGGCATGCACCAGCAGTACCACCAGCAAGGATTTCATGGCCAGTCCAGATCTTGCCCTCCTTGTTGGTGAAGTACGTACGCACAAGGTCGTTCACCGTTAGCTTAATGGCCTTCTCTGGCGCAACACCAATAAGCTGGGGCACAACACCCGAGTAGAGGCCTCGGGGTCCCTCGTTTCTCCACACCTTCTGGAAGCAATCGATCGAATTCTTATACAATCTTTCTCCCGGTCTGGCGCTTCTCTGGTTCTGCAGGCGGGTCTTAACAAGGTCAATGGGGTAGACCATGAATGCTCCGAAAGCACCTGCCAAACTACCAAGTCCAAAGTTGTATGCGGATTCGAGGATCGACGAGAGAACAGCCTTGGAAGCTCCTGCGCTCTGAGCGAGAACTCGCGAAGCAGCATCGTCGGCCTCGTAGGCGGCGTTTCTCCATGATGGGTCGAGGACCTTGGCAAAGTCACCGAGGCCAAGGCGACCAGATGGCTCGTCGAGGCTGGCAAAGTGGAAGAGGATGTCGGCTTCCATGGGGGTGAAGAGGGAGAACCGGGTGATCTTAGCAGCCTGGTTGAGGAATTCCGTCCTCGTAATCTTGCCGTCGGAGCTCTTGGCGCAAGCGCGGCGCACAATAAGCTCAACCAGATCAATCTCCTTAATCATGTTCTGGAAGGCGCGGACGTTGGCGTAGGAGACCTTGCTTCCGAGCGAGATGTTGCAAAGAGTCGACAGGTTCTCGAGAAGGTGGTCAGAGAGCTTGTGCTTGGAAGTCTCACGAATGATGCGCTCAAAGTCCTCGGGGTCAATGAAACCATCGCCATCCTTGTCGAACAGCTGGAAAGCTTGACGAATGCGCTCGCCCTGCAGACCACGCAGCATCTGGGAGAATTGGGGGTAGTCCATGTGGTGGCGCTTCTTCTTGCTACCGATGTACAACTTGGCCCACTCGCACTCCCAGTCAAAGGGGATGCTGTCGGGGCCCTTGTTGAGCTCATAGAGCTTTCGGAAGTCCTCATACTTGACATTGCCGGTTCTGTCAACGTCGAAGAGGCGGAAGGCGATCTCGTACTCGGCGTCGGGCTTGATCAGGAGGTTCTCGAAGGCGGCCCACTCGGAGAGGGTGATCTTGCCGGAACCCTTGCGGTCGGCGATGCCGAAGAGAATGCCGTACTGCTCTCGCTTGATTTTGTGCTGTAGCGTTGGGTTGTAGAGTCAGTAAAATGGATCGCGTGATTCATCGGAGGGAAATCGGAGCTGATTTGTGCTCCCACGGTAGACAAGTCGGAGGAGCAGAAAGCAAAATAAGAGTGAAAAAATGGACTTACGAAGTCTTCATCCTCGGGCGCAACAGCCTTGGTGAACTCGTCAGGGCCCATGAAGAGCTCTCCTGACACCTCATCCTTGACAGCATTGGCAACGAATCTCGCCTTTGTCTGCGCAGACAGCTGGACGGGCTCCTCGGCGCCAAGGAGGCTCTCCTTGACAGCCTCCTTGACAGCAGCTGCTTTGCTCATCTTGGGCGGCTTCTGCAATTGAGGTTGTGTGGAGGGCGGAAGTTTTGTTGAAGTGCAGGCGCACAGGAGAAATGGTTCGAGCTATCGCTTCCTGGGCCCTGTGTAGGAGAAGAGGAGAAGGTGCGCTCGGTGAGGTGAGGTGACTGTGGCCCTCGAGTGGATTGTGGGTTGAGTGGACCTGGATGCTCTTGCCGCTTGCGCGACGGAGTCTGGTGGCAGGTGCGGACGCGATGAGATTGGCCTTTAGCCGACGTGGGCCTAGCTGGGGATGGGGAAGGAGCCGTTGGCACTTGTGCTTCCCTCTCCAGTATTGGTCCTTGCTGGTCTTACGGTATCATGCCCTGAATATTACAAGGGGGACAGATGGGAGTGGGCAGAGCAGACAAGGAGCAGAAGAAGGGGGAAGGAGCGAAGGGTAAAAGGCGAAATTGGGACTGGGAAAGAACCAGGCCGGCAGAAGAGTGTCCAATCTGGGGAAGTTCGTCACACACGAAGCAGGAAAAGGCTTTCTTGCTGCAGCCGGGAACTAGTGACAGTACTTTTTTCTTTTTTTGGTGTTGCACACGGCAAAGAGGCAGAATGCAGAGAACCTTGGAATGGTTTGTAGGTCTCAGGCTGGGAGAGATGGACTAGACGCAAGTCCCTATGTACGAATACGGATACCTTGGATAACTTAGGTAGACGTACCACGGGTTCCTTATGACGAAGTCAGATGGATCGCATCAGGTCAGAGACATACAGGAAGAGACAGAGGTATCAGAGACAAGGCCAGAAACAGCGGGAGAACCTGAGTCAATTCCAAGGTTGGTGCCCGTTTTTCGGAATTGCCAGCCATCTGGCGTAATTTTTTTTTTCTCCTTCCACGCGGGAGTCAGGAACACGCGCCGGATCATTGTTGACCCCTTGGGGAACCCATGCAGATTGGTCCGATAAGGCCTTGCGATAAGATACAAGCAGGGTTTATGGCCGATTGTATCCCGGGAGTGCCTAGGAGCCTTGGCTGATGAAGGAGAGCGCCATCGAACACCGAACTGCCACATGCACATGCAGACACCAGCTGGGACGCACATGTGCACCACTTGCGCTGCACCGTCCGCGTGCTTGCTTAAGCTCGCTCTCGGGGTTCTGACCGCCTCGGCCACGCCTGTCTTAGCTGCCGCCGTCCCGAGTCTTCACTCTATGCAGAGCGGTAGCCTCGAACTCCGTCCAACCTTCTCTCTCCCATTCCTCCTTTTTCTTTTGGTATATGTCCCAAATCAATGGTCAAAGGTTTTCAAGCCCTCCATGATTGTGTCGTTTTCAAGTTCTTGTCAAGTTTGACTGACACAATGAAGCATGTATGAAGCTGTTCTACACCTCCCCTACGCGAGATATACAGTAATGCATAAGGACGCAGAGCAAGCTGCGGTAAGGTGCGGTTTGCGCAAATGACCACGATTGGACCATCTGATCACTTCGATCTGTCTTTTGCTCCCACATGAAATCGGACGCGACCGGGACATTTGACACAAACGACGGGGACCAGGATCAAAGAGCCAACGAGCCCGTTCCTCCGATTGCCATCGATTCGTGCGCATAAACCTCGGACAAGTGGATCCCGGACCCGCTCCGAACTTGCCGACAGCCAGACAAAAGTCGAATCTCTAATACTTGGATTCGACCGCGACGGACGTGCGCTTAACCACACGGTTATGACTGAATTGGCTGCTGAAGGGTGGGCCTTTGTGGTAAGACTTACCTATTCAATCCTTCCGGGGACTCTCGCCTTTCTTTTTTTTTTCTCCTGCCGCACTCCTCCTGAATGCATGGCAATTCTCCGTCTATTCGTACAGCGCGGACCGCGGTAGGTCTAGGCGCCTCCAATCCCCCATCCCCAAATACTCCAACAAAACGTGGGGGAGAACCCCCCTAGTCTTGGATAAGATCTGGAGGCTATGTATAGACAATAGGTAGGAAGGCTCAGAGTAGGACCCTTTCCAGGGAGGTTCCACGGAAACCCAATGCCGAGGGCTCGGAGCAGTTCAGTTCATTGACCTCCCTTTCTCCGGGCCGCTCAAAACTGCTGCCGCAGTTTCACTTCGATACACGCGCACCAACGGAGCAGTGTGCAAATGCGTATTCAGAACTTATGGCGACGTCAATCCTCCAAGGAAGAGACCTCGAATTGAGGCCGTCTACTGCATAATAGTGAACCAAGCCTGGAGCTTCCCACGATCCCAGCTCCCTTCGCCCTATCCGTACTCTAGCCCTACTTTACTCGTTCAAGTTCCGAGGCTCCTGGCTCCTGCCTGCCAATGGCCCATCGCCGCCTCGCGAATTGACTTCTGTGTCTGTTCAAAACGGCCGAGCGGCACCGATGAACCCCACGCAGTCACCAAACCCCACGCCATCCCCAGCCTGCCCGGTCATGCGCACGCCGTCTCCATCCTGCAAATACATCCTGTCTTGACCACTGGACGTTTTCCACCCGACCTTACCCCCCTTGGTCATCTCAAGCAAACATCCGTGCTCGTCATCGCCGGCTCCTGACACCGTCCCCGTTGCCAAAACATCGCCAGTATTGAGGTTGCACCCATTGATCGTCTGCTGGGCCACGAGGTCGCGGAATGTCCAGTACATCCAACTGAGCTGCGCCTTGCAGACCGTCGTAGGCCCTTCATCTGTCAATACTTCAGCCTTCAGGGAGATGTTGTAACTCGATTTCTCCTTGTTGTCCAACAAGTATGGCTGTGGGGGTATATCCTTCGGAGGCGGTTGTGTTGCATAGGGTTCGAGTGCTTCAGGTGTGATCACTTTAATAAGATTCACTATTAGCAAGTATCATTTCAATCCCGAGACAGAGGAACGTCCGACTTACCCCAGGGACTAATCGACGTCCCGAATGACTTGCCATTCATTGGCCCCAACGGACTCATCTCGAATCCTTGGATATCGCGAGCTTTTTTCCATTAGTTCTACACGGAGGGCTTCTAAGGAGAGTTGCGGCCCGGTTGCTACTCACCGCTCCAGTCGTTCAGTAGAACGAAACCAAAGATATGCTCGTCGGTATCCGTCACAGCTACGCGGTCTCCAAGCTGCGTCGGCTTCCCGATAATGCAAGCCACTTCGAGCTCGTAATCGAGTGCCCTGGAGGGACCGAAACCAATACTGTCCCCGTCACGATATTGCCCATACGGCCGCGTGATTTTCGTTCCCGAGAGGACAATCGAAGAAGGCCGGCCACTGTAGCCGATAGGGAAGTATGGTGCCGCGGGTGGCATGGAGGCCTTGCCCATGACTGCCTCTGACGCGTTCAAGAGATGTTCTTTGGAGCACGAGAAATCGGTGAAGCCATCTACTTTGATTGGCAGGTGTAAATGGACCTCGTCGATCGGTACGCCATGTTTCGACAGCGTCGGTTCGTCGGAGAGGGCTTGTTGAATGTTCTTTCGGAGGGCCTTGAGCTCGAGCTTCTCTGTGGCTGCCAAGGCGTTGAGGGTTGACTTCGGTGCTGTTAGCATTCACAAGCGGCTTGGATGGAAAAAAGGCCAGACCTGAGACAAGGCGGACTTGATGTCGGTGGACGTCTCGGGATTTAGGTCAGAGATGAAGACGACCGAGTCCCCTACTCTTGTGACTACGCTTTTTGCATGGTTCGCACTACTGGCGATTCCGTACGGAATGTTGGCAAGGGAGAAATGCTCAGAGAAACTCATGATGACAGAGACAATTTGATCAACGAATGGCTTTATGAGGTTTGGTTGAGCTACAGAGTGGTTCTGCTTGCATCACAGCAGGCTGCATTTCTTTTACACGTCCATAATGAAGCTCTGAGCTCAATCGTTGTTTGCTGATTACCAAAATCCTATCCGCCCCCGCCCTCCCCCACCCCCACCGGCCCCGGATTTTAACCCCGGCCCACCTACGTAAGAAGCTCGGATCGGCGACTCGGAGCCCAAACATAACTTCCCAGCTCGGCAAAGCTCATGATAGAAAGTAAGACACGACGGCACCAGTATCTTGCGGCTAGTTTGCTTTTGCTCTACTTCTGAGGAATCACGGGCAAAGTGACATAATTCTCAAGGCCTTGACCAAAATGGATATTGTTCAGTCCAGCAAATTTGGAGGCAGGCCTGGAGAGAGAGAGAGAGAGAGAGAGAGGTTGTTAGCATACAGTACTCAGGGAAAGAGTTGAGCATCTCTGAACTTACCGATCAACTTCAGAGCAGTGCTGGAAGATTCCGCTGCCCTGGGTATCGCCGCTGCTAACCTCGAAGACGATCTTACCGCCCTTGTCAACAACAACGTTTGTCGGCCAGATTTCGACGTCTACGCCATAGACCTCCCCAGCCTTGACTGGCAGTACGTCTGTGGAGAGGTACTCCCTATGCGGCAGCCAGGACTTGTGCCTGGGGCTCTCCTCGTAAACCTTGCGGTTGCTCACTCTCAGCCAGCCTTTGACGAGCGGCACGGGGTCGCCAGCTGTTCCTGTGTAAAAGACTTCCTGGCCCGATGGGTCAATGTGACGCAGGGTCACGAATAAGTCGATATCGGTTTCGTTTCCAGATTTTTCGGGCGTCACCGAGACGTTTAGGTGGGCAGTGACATGGCCTGTGATCTCCGTCTCTTGCTCGAAGGGAGCGGACGTGAAAGAAACAACTTGTGGGTTCTCCAGGGAACCAAGGGCCTTGTACGAAACAGCCTTGGAATCCTGGCCGGAACCATTTGTCGTCAGACCAAGGTCGGGCGTCAGGTAGAAGTTGGTATATTCTGTGCGGGGGATTGGCCAGGCCGCCTCTTCTCTCTTGGGATACGCCTTCTCCTTCTCGGCGTCGTTGAACCCAACGTTGCCCTTTCGCAAAGTGAGCGTCACGGGAGGCACCTTGCCAGGCGTGCTCCAGCCGACTCTGTCCTCGCCCTTCAAAAAGGCATCGAGGAAACTCTTTTGCAGCTCTACTTCCTCTGGGTAGTAGAAGGGGAGGTCGTGACGACCAGTGATGAAACGCAGGTACTTGAGCTGAGATCCTGCTCCGAGGTAACCCTGTACGTTGCCTCTCAGGTGAAGAAGGATGCCACCCCAGTTGGCTACGCTCAGAACAGGAACCTCAATGTCCTCAAGCTTGTACTCTTTGCTTGCATAATAGTCATCGTCGCGGAAGCGGTTGGCCTCGTTGTCCTTTGTCTGATCCTGGCGGTTGGCTATTAGGACCTCTTCCGGTAGATCACCCTCGATGGTATCCTCTTGACCACGGGCTCCAGGACCATCGGGAGGGAATTCCAGCTTAGATCGATCTTTCCTACCATATTGGTTGACTAGCACCTGGCGGTTCCACCAGAAGCCAATAAACTTGTTGGAGTGGATGCCGCCGTGACGGCAGCGGTCGCGGTAGTAATCGGACATGCCCTCCCAGGGGATGATTGCTGCAAGACCCTTGGGTCGCCGAGCGGCTACGCGCCATTGAGAACCTGTAGAATTGATGTGAGTAAGTGGTTTCATGGAAGGACGTGAGAAGAGACGACAACGCACCAGCATAATACGAGATACCCAACAGACCGACCTTGCCGTTAGACCAGGACTGATCTGCAGCCCACTCGACAACGTCAAAGAAGCACTCGCTTGTGCCACGGCTCATGGTATCCAGTAGTCCCGGGCTCTGACCCAGCCCTCGCTCGTCGGCGCGAACGATGGCATAGCCCTGGCTCGTCCAGAAAACCGGATCGGGCGTTTCCCAGGCCGAGTACTTGGATCTCTGGTCCGGGGCGACCTCGCTGAAGGACTTTGGGTAGAACTTGGCGTAGGGGATATCTTTGCCATACGGTCCGTATGTCACCAGCACAGGGTAGCGTGCGGCCTTGTCCGAAGTGAGCGGGAGATAGACGTTTGCGCGGATGGGAAGCGGCGAGTCCTTGAGCGGGATCGAGACGTTCTTCATGAAGGTGAGGCCATTTTCCTGGTCCTCGGTGACCTCGAGCAGGTCTTTGATGGGAGGGGTCTTGATGGACATGATGGTTGAAGCTCAATGGTTACCTCAATGTCTCAGCTTGGCGGCTATTGGCGTTCAGTGGAAGCAGATCTGAGTCTTAGAGGGGCCTTCCTGGGTTTTATTTCGACGGGGTGGGCGGGACTGGGCAGTTGAACTCTTTCACCGACGATGGGATGGATGGAGCGGATGATGCAAGATGCTTCAAAGATCGGACCCTCCTCCACACGTCAATCTAGGTACTTCGGGTGTTACACTCTCCCGTCGCCTTACTCCTCATCACCGCCGCCGCCTCCGTCGTGTATGGCGTTTGTTGCGCACGGGCGGAACGGTGGGGGAGGGGCTGACCCCAACGGGCGGAGTTAGCACGTTGTTGTTTCTACCTTGTCTCGGTACGGACTACTCGTATTATGATCCCTTACGGCAGCCTGGTGCATGTAGATAGGTAAGGTAAGTGAGATACCTAGTGCTCGTTGCATGTGCCACATCCCTTTCCAGAGGCTTGCATGCGAGGGAGCCAACTAGACAGTTTTTTTTTATTCATTTTTTTTTTTTTTTTTTTGAAGTTTATGGCATCTTGAAGAGGAAGAAGATGACTAGCTGTAATTGAGAATGTTGTACGAGTACAGAGCAAACGCTATCCACCACCGTCATGTATCCATGATCAAATTGCTCACTGAGAATCCCACCCAAAAGATCAGATCTCTCCACCGACCTTGAACCTGAAATAATCCTTATTCACTCTTCCACCCGTAGATCTCCAGAGCCAATTGGTTACCTGATGGACTCATGTTAGCATGCTCACCTTCACCCTTATGACTTGCGTTGCGACTCGTTGATGCGCATTTTACTCACCCCTTGAAGCCAACACCCATTCAACATAACATATACAAAAGCCGACTCGATGCCGTTTGAACCCCACGGCCTGTCTGCTATATCCATATTCGCGTTCGCCGGTCTGTACGGAGGGACCTGACGATGCTGGTCGTACCAGCCAGGCGGATTCACTGCTGCTGGCGATGGCGCGTCCGCATTGCCTCTCGCGAAGGCTTCTTCGACCCCTCCAGTGAGACGAATCTGGTAATCGTGGAGGTGGTCTCGTTGGATCGTCGTCGTGACGGGGTTTTCTGTGACAGTTGCCGACATTTGTGATTTGCTTACTATTTTCGCGTATGTATGTAATAAGAGGATGAAGCAGCAAAACCTATCGAAGCCTAGACAACTTCAACAAGAGATGGCAGAGATGATCTTTGAGAATTGGAGATGCCTATCTCAGAAATCCGACACAAGGAGGCAGGACATCGCTTCAATATGCCGACCGTCGACCCGTCCGTCCCCACGGACCCGCGCCACCCGATCAGCCTTGAACTTACGGATACGTCTGCGTCGGAAGTGCGGAGAGACCTGTGGCAAGCGTCGTTTTGGGGGCTGCCGCCTGCTAGATCCCAGTCAAACCGCAAGCAACGAAAGTCGAGAAACGACCAGCACCCCTGTCCTCCACATTCCGCCCCTCCAACAAGCCGGAGCCTAGCTCAAACGAAGGCTACGGTCCGCGGACACATGTTTGAGCTACCGAGTTCATCGGATCTGCCCACGAGTCCAATATGAGCTTCCGCATAGCGAGCTGAGGTCATGTAGATAGCACGGTCGCGCTTCATATCGTATCAAGACTCCATCACTACACATTCAACTCTTCGCTGTAATTGAGTCGCTTTATCATCCTATTTACGAGTGCTTTTTCTCCTTGGCCTTCTCCAGAACATCGCCACCATGAATCCTGCCTTAGAGAAGTTGCTCTTAACGCTCGTCGACGGGCGCGCCGAAGTCATTCGCTTCCGCCAGGACAACCTTATCAGCCTACACAATGAACTGCGCAAAGAGTCCGCGGCCCTGACTGCCGCCCAGGAGAAGGACACAGGCGCATCAAAGACAGAGATCGAGGCCGAGCACTTCCTCGCGCTGGAAACCGTTCGGCACTTTTACGAGTCTCTCAACTTCTCGAAAGAACTCGAGGCTGAATATCTAGTTGCCCACGGCAAGGACAACACAAGCAGAAGAACCGGTGCTGGGCTGGTGATCATTCGGCCGACCACTTACACCAGGCTCTTCTCGATTCTGAGTCCACTTGCTGCAGCGTTGGCCGCTGGCTCAGTTGTTGTTCTTGAGGTACGCTCTGATCACTCGCGACATCGACTCATCTGTATTAGAAGCTGACAAGAGGGCCTACAGCTCGAAGACACTTTGTCGCAGCTAGATTCCGTCCTCCGCGGCGTCCTCGCACGCGCCCTCAATCAGAATGCCTTCTGCATCACCAAGAAGATCACAGACGAAACATTGCTGTCACAAGCAATCCTAGTAGACCAAACCAACACAGCGCCCCCGAAAGCTGGCCGCGCAAACCATCTCGTTTCCGCAAATGGCGCCCGCGCCGTCGCCATCGTCGACCGAACAGCTGACATAGAGGCTGCTGCCAAGGCCATCACGGCGGCGCGCTTCAGCTTCGGCGGCCAGTCGCCCTACGCGCCAGACTTGGTGCTCGTCAATGAGTTTGTCAAGAAGGAGTTCTTTGAGGCGTGCTCAAAGTACGCCTCACTCGCCTTTGCTCGCGAGACTACAGTGAAGCGTGCAAGTGACAGCGTCAGCGACGAAACGAGGAAGGCAGTGCAGGAGGCTGAGGACAAGAGACTCGCCTCAAGCTTTGGGTCCAAGGACTTTAAGCTGGTTGACATACAAGATAAGTAAGATGAGACCGCACTCCCTTCAATTTGACGAAGATGCTTATTCAGTCAGGAATGCTTCTCTCTTGAAGATCAAGATCAGTGGGCGCTTCCTGCCTATCACAACCTCTTCTGGTCTTGTAGACTCTATCTACACCCACGAATTTGAGTGAGTTGAAATTCATCAAATAGGAAGGCTTGCTGCTAACTCGACTAGGAACCCTCTTTTAGCCGCCTACCTCTTTGCCAGCTCTGATTCAGCAAAGTACCTCTCCCAATTCCTCCCTGCCCACGTCTCCGTCATCAACCAGATCCCCTCAAACCTCCTCCTCGGCCCGGCAGCACCGCTTTCTCACGAAGCAGCCTTCAACTTCCGCTATAGCAGGGAAATGTTCTCCGTAGCACGGCCGCAGTTCGTTGAGAAGCCCACCGGCGCGCTCGCAAAACTCGAGCAGCTCCTCACCAGCACCGGTGCCATCTCCGCCCAGAATCTGCATGCCTTGGCCATCGCACCTCTGCGCCCGACAAACCAGCCGGGCAACAGTAGACTGGGGTTCTTCGAGCAAGGTTTCGTTCTGGGTGCCGGTCTGATCATGAGCGTTGTGCTTCCGAGTCTCGCATACGGCACATGGATTGGCGGACGGCGGGTGTTTGATTATGCGTTGAAGTTCAGGAAGTAAATTATAGTCATATGTTGGAGGAAAGTCGCAACCTTCAATATGTATCATATACCTCAAATTCACGTGCCTTCTTTTTTGTTATATCCAGTCTTCTCCCTAATTGTCGCTTTCGTACCCTGATAGTTGCCGACATGTCATATATGTGGCTAAGGTACATGAGGCTAACAGCTGTTCCAGGACTCACGTAACTTGATAATTCACTACAAACGGTACCTCGGAAAAGGGTAGTGCCATTGATGAAATCAGGATTTGGAACACCGACCGAAGTTTTGCCATGTCGTAGTCTCGTTCAAATGTCTTGCCTGATATTCAATCAATATTCGGCAACTTTCCCCGGCTCAAATTCGGCTCGGGAAGTGGGGTAACTAGCAAGTGCCCGCCGCCGGCCCCATCGGCCCCAGCTTTACCCCAGGTCTTGGTCCCGCTGTATCTCTGACACTCCAGCGCCGGCACTACCTCGAAGCTCGGGCAGGCCACCCATGGTGCCCAAGAATTGAACGTTTTGTCGCCGTCCTCAGACCAGTTTCCGCAAATGGGGCCGTTTGAAATGACTTCCTAGTTGGACGGCAAACTTGTGACCTATCCTCCACCAGCCGAATACCTAACACTATCGAAAGATAACCGTCTCAGTGTCTTAAGTCTCATCAGCTTCCAAGGACTGTTTCGACTTTGGCCTATTATTGTCTTCCGTGAACGTATGTATTCTGCTGCCTAGATATACCATCATTCACTTGCTTTACTTCGATCAGCTCGACAGACAAGTTGAAACGTACATAGTTCAGTCACATCATGGCGGTAGGAAGCAAAGATGAGGGGCCTATGAACCCTGTATTCCTTTTCGCACACGGGTCAACGATGATGCTCGGCGAGGAGAGCAACTCGGCCTCGTACTGGAAGAAGTGCGGCGACGAAGCTCTTGCCCAAGGCATTGAGCACATCGTCATGATGGTAAGCAACCTTCTCTCCCATTCCATGTTATTACCAACATCACCCTACTATCACAGGTGAGCAATACAACTCACAATTGCCACCAGGGAGCCCACTGGGCCACAAACGCCCCCGGCGAGATCCTCATCTCAGCCCATCCCACGCCCGCAAAGTCACCAGTCGCCTACGTGAACCCCCAGAAATACCACCCCTACAAACTCAACCCAGACCTTGACTACATCCCCACGATCCAACAACACCTGACCGCCGCCGGCATCCCCTCCAAGACAGACCCGACCTTTGACTGGATCCACGACACCTACCTCGTCCTCATCCGTATGTTCCCCGCCGGCTGCCCGCCGACGACGCTCATCTCCATGAACGACTTCTACGACCCGCACTTCCACGTCGCCGTCGGCGCCGCCCTTCGGCCCCTGAGAGCCGCCAAGCACAAGACGCTCTTCATCGGCTCCGGCGGCTCCGTCCACAACCTCTACCGTAACAACTGGGCGCCCATGCTTAAGTTCCGCGATAACTTTGCGCAGCCCAACCCCCCGGAGCCCTGGGCGCTGGACTTCCGCCAAGAGGTCATTGATATCTTTTGCCCTGCGTACGAGGAGGACGTCCCCACCGACCAGGCCGTCTACGGCAAAGCCATCCGCGGCAAGAAGCCGTGCGGCGGGCCGCTTTTGAGGCGCAAGGTGACGAGCTTGATGAAGCATCCCATGTACCGCGAGGCGCATGCCACGGATGATCATTTCATGGCCACCATGTTCATCGGAGGCTTGTGTGGAGGGCGGGGCGATGAAGCAATGAAGGCTGAAATGGGAGCTGAGGATTGGGAACTTACAAATATGTGCAACTCACAGTTCTTTGTCGGTAGCTGGCCAGAGGCCAAGTGAATGAGCCAAGAGGTGGATGAAATTCCGAAATGCTTTTTGATGGTATCTGATACAGTATGACCTACTATCCTGTGAGGTCAAGACCTCGTCGTTGATCATTTCTAGTTCCATGTATACCAATGAATTCCTGCTGCCCGTCTACTATTTCAAGAGAACATACTCCCGTGCTAAGATAGGTCCATGTTGTCCCATTGGAAATCGTCGCCAGCGCCGAGGCCACTGAATAGATCGTCGGCACCGAGATCGAGTGACCCTCCACCGTTGGTCGATGAGCCCCCGAGGCCCAGATCACCGCCGACACCTAAGCCTAAATCGAGACTGACATTGTCCACAGACATTCCGTCGCCTTGCGCAACATTGGCAGCCGCGGCAGCCATGGCATCATCGAGTGACCCTGCGCCAGCGTCTAGGCCCAGACCAAGATCAGTCTGCAGCATCGTGTCTGCTTGGATGACCTCGGCCTGGGACACGGCCATCTGAGTCTCTACCTTGCGGTACAGCCTCACAACAATCTCGGCTAGGTTCATGTCGATCTTTTGCAATTTTTTACATTCCTCGGCGTCTGACTTCAGCACCTCTCGTAGAGTAAGCTTCCTCTGAACGGGGGCCGGTACATTGCCTGAATTGTCGATAAAGTTGATCGGGTTCGACGGCGTGTTCACTACATCGGGCGCGCAGACTAATGCTGTCGCCACATCGTAAATGATGCTCCCGCTGCCTGTTTCTGTTTGCTGTCTGATGTCTTCGTAGAGGAGCTGCAGCAGACGCTTTGCACCAAGAAGTTTCATCGCTACCAGCATCTGTCGATGGGTGTACGCTGGAGGCATCCTGTCCATTGTTGGGTGAATACTCCACTGCACCAATTGCTGCAGCGTCTGCCGGATAGAATTAGAGAACCCTCCCATTGACCAAGCATCCAGCTCTTGGTGGTCGGCCGCCCCCGTTCTCCTGGAGAGTGGGATACTATCTTTGATTGCTTTCAAAAGTGGCTCAACCTCTTGGCTCTTTGGGTCTGATCGTTGGTATGCCCTGAGGGAATGCTCCAGTGGCTTAGCAACTATGTTCATCACAGAAGAGAGCATGGCTTGCGCCTCATTGGATATAGACGTTGGCGCCAAAACAGAGTTGAGTACCCTGACAATCGCCTTTTGGCAGTCAGAACGCTCAACCCACAACGAGTTGGCAAGAGAAGTGATGGCTACGACGAGGGATGGGAGAAGGAACGTATCGACAAGATCTGTAAATGTGTTAGCGCAGCTCTTGGCTGAAGACTCCCAAAGTTCCTACATTCAATGCCTCCTCTGAGACTTTCTTCGGTTAAGTGTCCTGTACTGAACGCCAGAACAATATTATGGAACAGAGTCGATACGAGTAAGTAGAAGTCTTGAGGCGGGCAGGACGACATCAGCTCATCGCCCAGCCCGCCCGCTTCCGAGTCAAAGAGGCCGTGGATCCACCCATCCAAATGGCCCTTTTCTTGGTCTGATAGCTCTTCCAAGGACCGACTTTGGTGGCCGTGGCCGAGTAATCTTGCCACGAAAGAGTCAGAGGATATGATGCCCATATCTGATGCCGATAGACCATAACGATATGCAAAAGCCATGACGAGAAGCAGAATGGAGCCAAATTCCTCGTACACGGGTTGGTATTCTCCCTGGTCCTCGTCGTACTTCCAGTTGTCCAGAAGGTCGCACAAAGGGTGAAGAATCGTTGCAGGTTTCTCGAACATCAGCATGACATCAAGAGACAATGGCTTCTGCGCCAATTGGCTACACAATAGTTTCAGGGACATTGTCTCCTTATTCCTACAAAGCTGTCCCATCACCTGCTAAAGGTCAGTATTAAACTGCGTTAATGGGCACGGAAGACTTACTTCTGTTAAGGCTTGGCACACGGCGCCGGCGTTTCCTTCTTTACTGTCCAGCTCGCCAATCAGAGCCTGCATTCTCTCCGGATCTGCGAGGCATTCTGCGACGAGGTTTTCTTTGACGTATCTTCCGCCTGCTGGAAGTGACGAATAGGGTGTTTCTCCAAGAAGGGTCTCAATGCTGCTTTCCCGCAATAGACCATGGAGACAGCAAGCCCAGCAAAAGTCTTCTCGAACTGAGTCTGTGAACGGGTTGTTACTTCTAGTTTCATCGAACATTGATGATAGAGTGGGAAAGGTGGTCGTGTCGACGCGGCTGAGAGCTTCTGTGATGCAGTACTCTGCATTCACCGGGCCGTACATGTGCTTGCTCAGACTTTCAATCAGAATCGGCAGTTTGTTCATGAGGAATGAGCGCAAGAGATGTGCCGCTTGATTCCCTTCATTGCGGGAGGCAGCATTGGCAAGTATGTCGAACGAGACCAGGATGAGGTCAACAGTTGTTGATTGTACATCGCCCTGTAGACGTCAGATGGTGTGCCTCCTATGGTGTCTGCGCAAACACACATAATAGAGAAAACTTACCTGGTATCTATTATTCAAGTAGTTGAAGATGGCTAGATCGTCGATCAATGGCCGGCCAACTAGCTATTGCGCCCCTTATCAGCATCTCTACCAATGTGCGGTTTCAGGCAACTTACTGCAGCATTCAAGTATATGTAAAGACCAGCTCTCGAATTGACTATCGGTAGTTCAGACACTACGAAGTTCTCCAGTGCTACCGTAGAGTCGAACAAGTCCTCGATCTCGGCATTCGACTTGTTCTTCTGCTCGTCGACTGGCTCAAAGCCTGCTAGCGTACTTGTCCGGAACATATCGAGACGAGTCGCGATAGGGCCAGCACTTTGCATGATGGTTGGTACAAAGTTGGCGAGGCTTTCGGACAATGCCTTTCTGATTTCTTGTCGAAGATTAGCCAAACGCGGAGTCATTGTAGCAGTACCTATGCACCTACCTTGGGCCTCGGGTTTACTCAAAGCCTTGAGAACAACCTGGTTTTCGCACACTCCGAGAAGCAAAGCTACAAATGCGGCACGCGCCGATTCCATCTCCTCCCTCACCTGACTGTTGTGAAGCTGCCCCATAACATCGACCGTGAAGGCTGTGGCGGCGTCTGTGAAGAGCGCAATCCACTTGGCCATGATGTTGGCAATCTCAAGACCCGTCCCTGTGTTTTGTATTGCGGTCCCTTGCGCTACGAACTTGGTAAGCCTGTAGAACATGACCTCCTCGGCCGCATATGAGCTCTCCCATCGCGGGGAATCTGATGTTTGGTTTTCGGCATTAGGCAACTGCACAGCTTCTCGGGAGTGTCCACGAGAGGTCGAATACTTGTACAAAGCTTTAAGGATCGAAGGCGTATCGATATGGTTCAGGCTCGAGAGGACCTGGAGGTAGCGTGGGACTCGGGGGTCGAGGCTCTCGTGATTGTGAGGTTGCGGTCGTAAGAAGAGGTCGGCGACGGCAACTGGCGGCAACGGGTGCTTTGCTTGGAGAAATGGAACATAGGACTCGAACTTCTCGGGATCTATGCGGTGGGCCAGACTCTTGGCTATGAAT